CGAGGATACACTGGCAGCCTCACATGTGGAAGGCAGCAAATGAGTGTCGGTCCCATCTGTTTGTTTATGACAAGCTCACATGGTTTCCAGGGCTCTCCATGTGTAATGTTGGAAACGCTGATCCTTAAAAGCCTATTCTTGTACTTACCAGGCGTTTTGCCAGTGGAACAATAGGTGTGTGGAGGCTGGCCTCCCTTTGCCTCTCCCAGTAGTGTGATGATGACCCTCTTGCGAGGCCCCCTTCCGTCATCCCTGTGATTGCCGTGGGCCATCCTGAAGCTGGATCCTAAGCGTTGTATCTGTTCTGGCAGCACACTCTCCAGGTGGCAGCTGCCTTTATATTTTGTTCAAGTCAAAATGAGAGTAAGGTCAAAAGAGCTGGTTGTGGTTAGGCAAAAGTCCAACAGAACATTGCTTTAATGAGTTAGGTTAAATGTTATTTTCTTATTTTCTATTATCTCAAAAGAGAAGCCTTGGCAATAGCCCATGAAGTCTCCTGTCTCAAAAAACCAGCCCAGAGCGATGGTTAGCCAGGATGTAATCAAGTCAAGAGAGTCTTCAACAATGGACATTTTCTCACAGCCTTTCCAGCCTTCCTTATTTCTATCCCTGTCTTCCTTTGGCCAGCTATAGCCAGCCCTGTGGTTGAAATATACACTAGTTCAGCAGCATCCCACAAAACACACTTCCCATGGATGTAGACTCGCAAGTGCCCAGGTCCTTGGAGATGAGAATGACCTAGAAGGAGATCACGGAAGTTCGCCCAGAAACTCTCCTAGGGCTTCCCTCCCAGACCCCCTGGCCTATCCCACACCTGCTATAGTTGAGCAATCCTGGGTCATACTCTAGCCCAGGGGTCCTCAAACTACAGCTCACGGGCCACATGCGGCCTGCCGAGGACATTTACCCGGCCCGCTAGGTGTTTTTGCCCCATTTTGTTTTTTTACTTCAAAATAAGATATGTGCAGTTGTGCATAGGAATTTGTTCATAGTTTTATTTAAAACTATAGTCTGGCACTCCAACGGTCTGAGGGACATTGAACTGTTTTAAAAGTTTGAAGACCCTTGCCCTAGCCCCTCCAGTTCTCCCAGCCCCACGCCTTCTTCTGCCTAGATCCTGCATGCAACCCTGACCTTTATCCTTCCTTCTCTCGACCTTGGTTCCTTAGGGTCTCCTTACCAACTCTGTCTTGTCCTCCATTTCTTTTGGGGAGTTAGGTCCTCACCAACCTTGGCAACCTAAGGGACCCCAATCCTCCTGAAGTCTTCAGACTTTGCTACGCCAAGCAGGCACACTGGGGTTCTCACTGACTGAGAGACCCTGCCCCATAAGGTTTCAAAGCCCCCAGTCCCAGCTGCACACCATATCTGAAGCTGCCATTCAACAGGGAGGGAGGCCTCTATCGGGGTGAAGGGCAGACTGCACGCATCTTGAGTGATGTGTCCGCCAGGTGAGTTGACCTGCAAAGATGTCAAACTCATAAACTTAAGTCGAAGAGAGTTCCATAGCCCAGCACCTCCTTTGAACTGTCCCCGAGAAACGCAAGCCCGAAACTCCTGGAGGTATTGACCTTGATACTGGCCTGGATGTCTTTCAGTAACAAGGCAGAGCTAACATTGTTTGGGAATCTTGCTCATAGTTGTGGGGGGGGGGGGAATCAATCTCTTCAAAAAGTTGGACTGTTTCCCAAGAGAAAGGAAAAGTTAGTGTCCTCTTGGCAGACCAAGGAGTTAAATGCCCCCCAAAGCAAGAAGCCTCAGGAACGTGACCAATAGATAACATGTACTTGGTGACACGCTGAATTGAACGTCACATCTCAGTGACACACATCAGTGTAAATGCCAGCGCCCGTGAGGGGACAGAAAGTGATCCGGCAGACATTTTCCTCAGGATATCGAAGGGCTGAGACATGAGTTTATTTGATTCTGGAAATGACAGCGTCTTTATGAAATCATAATGGGCCATTAATTAGCCTGTTACTTATGAAAACTTCCAAGAACAGCTGCCTTTCTTCATTGGTAAATTAAAAAGCATTAAGTGAAAGATGTTTGCTATCAGATTAGATACCTTGAGAATTCCTTAATTGTTTTTAGAGCTTAACAATTTTAGGCAAGTAATATGTGTAGTGAATCTTGCTCTTTGGGGGGACGGCAGGGAAGGGGTGGTTAAGGCTTTTTCCATGTCAGTTTCATTCTAGCCCCCAAATAAGAATAACACATAGAATGGAAAGACACAGCCCTTTCAAATATCACAAGGATTTTTAAAGCATCATTTTGACAAGTTACCTTATCTCGCTGCATTTTACTAACGCTAGTTATTGGTTGCTCCAGTGAAGCAGCACACATGAATTATTACTGGTGGTGTTATTGACAATTTACATGGCTATGATTTTTCTTGTGGGAGGCCTGGTGCACAGTGAGTAACGTGTGGCTCTGCTAACTGTAGTATCAGCAGTTCTAACCGACTAGCTGGTCCTCAGGAAAAGGATGAGGCTCTGAGCTCATTTAAAAATTTATCATCTCAGAATCTCACAGGGACTCTTCTATTCTGTGCTATAGGGCCATTATGAGTCCATTGGAATGGACTCATTAGCAGTGAGTTGAGTTAATTGTTCTCGAACAGATAGATATCTGCTTGTCCGGAAAGTCACCAATGGTCTTGAAACAATTGTATTGAGAACACCAGTGGTCTCCAGTAATAGTACCTATCACCGTGGCTACTGGGCTTATTACGAGAGAGAATGTATGTCTAGTCTAGGTTAATACCAGGAACCTAATGACTGCCCAGCTTTCCCCACCACAGGACATGTTTTTCTCCAATCTAGCCAGTTGTCCAGCACAGCAACCTGGGACTCCTCCCGGATCATGTCCTCTCCTTTCTACCTTGCAGCTGATCTCAAAACCAAACCAAAAAAGAGGCATCCCTTAAATCCACCCCACTGTCCCAGCCCAACATGCCCCACCCGAATCTAAGCCGCCATCCCTTCCAGCCTAGACAAAAGGTAATAGTTTCCTGAGCAGTCTTTGTATCCACTCATGCTGTATTTCTATCCTCATGATACCCTGCCCCCAAAGTCACATTTAGAAGCAGCCATCATACCTTCCTTGTCTTACCACGGCTTACATTTGTCTGTGGGTTCCCATTGTGAGCAGAATGCAATCCAAACTTATTATATGGCCTACGGGATCGGTGTGATCTGGCCCCAGGGAATGGCTTTAGGAGCCCCCTGCCAACCTCCCTAGCCTGTTTTTCCCATAGCACCCATCTCAGTTTGTGACTTATCTATGTATCCTAGTCTCCATTCAGTTATTGTTGCCTCCCACACTGGTCTGAAAGCTCTGTGAGCCATCGGTTGGGTCCGTTTTGCTGATCATTGTATTCCCAGTACTTAACACACAGCCTGAGACATTGTTGGTGCTCAATCAGTGCTTACTGAGTAAACAAATGCGCTCATCCCCCAAACTAATTGTGTCCTTCTGTTCCTTTTTTTATTTAAGTAACATTTTAAAATGATGTGAAGTAGACGAAAGGTTGGAAGCAATTTGCTTGTAGCATTTTTCTAGATTTCTAGGTTTTTAGACATGTCAACATGCTTTAGGCTGAACAATAGTTATTTTTGTTTTTGTGTAGATAATCTAACTGCCTCCCTCTTTCCACACTGGAGAGTCTAAGAAGAGTTCTAGGTTGATTGCACCAAATCATAGTATGCATCAAATGAAGAACTCACATAAAAACAGTAATTTTCCTCCCCTTCTTAAAAGTGGAATGCCGATACCAACCCTATTAATACACAATATCTTCATTTTCTCTATTAGCTACTTTTGACAGTTTTATAATAGTTTACTAGTAAAAACTTGGCTGACACGTTTATGAATGGTTATGCTTGGTAATCGTGGTTCAATTAATAACAGGAGACTTGTTTGACATGGTTCTATTTGTCTATTAGGCATAAAAGGACAGGCTGGTAATTCAAGTTAACAAAATCGCCAAGCTCATGGGTAAAGTGAGAAATATTGAATGGAAGGAAATGACACTTGAAATCTGTTTTCATTGCATGTTTGTATTTTGTTCTTCGTTCTCAAACTCATTTCCCTCTAAAACACAAGAGCATTATATTGAAAAATAATGCGCCTCGAAGACCCGAGCCAGCAGCAAGCCTGAGCTCCGGGTGGTAGTGACTTCTGAAATCCCTAACGAGGCAATCAGAGTTGAACATCTCTCACAGTGCATTCACTGAGGCTGGCCTCTTGCCTGTTCCACAACAAGCTGTCATTTGAAATTTTTGTCCTGACTCCACGGGCACTTTGATTCTTAAATCTTTCTGAGAAACCTAATCTGAAATCAAAGTCAAGTCTCTTAGATGTGGTCAGACAAGGTTGCATTTCGAACAGTTCAGTGAACCTGCAGATCAAAGGTGGGAGGAGTTGCCTCGCTCCTGAAGTTGGCACGGGCTTACCTGCGAGCTGATCTTTCGGCTTCTAGTGTGCCTTGTCCACCATCTTGCTGTGGACAAAGAAGAGTGCAGTCCCTGGAAAAGGATAGAAGGATAGAAGCACTTCCTTGGATAGTTCATTTAGGGCAGGGGACACCGTTGTTATTCGAAAGAGGGGCTTCCCCAATCTGAAGCTCTGGTCGTTTAGGTGAAGAAATGCCTTGACCCGAGCTCACGGAGGAAGTAAGGTGTACAAGGGGGATCCTTGACATGTCTCCATAGTAGGGCTTCTGGAAATCAGAATCACGGGGTCATGTCATGTTCCTGGGCAGTATTTTGGTCTCAATTATGGGAATTTGCACACACACTTTGACCAGCAATGCTGCAGTAATGCTAGGGACATGTCCCTGCCACTGTCGTCCTCCCCTGCTGAGGTGCGAGTCATCCTCCAAAAATGGCCCTGGAAAAGGGGGACATGGTAGCTTTTGTTAGGCATGGTCTTAGCATCTCTGAGGTGATTGAAAGACAAAAGAAAAAAAACAACCTTGCCATTGCTTTATATTGCAGTGTTCTGTCTCTTGTGGTCGAGGGCATAAACAACGACATATTTACTGCATGGCAAAAGATGGAACCCATTTAGAAAGTGATTACTGTAAACACCTTGCTAAGCCACATGGGCACAGAAAGTGTCGAGGAGGAAGATGCCCCAAATGGAAGGCTGGAGCCTGGAGTCAGGTGAGCGATGCTTCTCTTCCCACTGCTTCCTAACGTTCTGCAGGGGGAACTAGCCCCGCTGTGTGGATCTGTCTTTCTCTGCAGGGTTGTGGTTTCTCCCAGGGGAGCCGGACACTGGGCGGGAAGGGCTTGGTAATCAAGAGCCTTAGGAGTTGTGTGGCCGTGGACAAGCGGCTTCAACTTTTGGTGCTTGGCTTAACACCTCCGAGGGGGTGGAGATGAGCTAGTCCGGGTGGTAATAGACGGCTGACTGCTAGTACAGAATAAACCCTCAGTGCTTCCCTGGTGGCACTCATTATTATTATTATTATTACTATTACTATTATTCACCACTTAGAAAAATACTCAGATCACACTGAAATTGGCAGGAACTAAGTAAATTGACCTCTGAGGCCCTTGAAGAAAGGGCTTTTAATATTCAGTATTAGAAACTACTTCTGGAGCCTCTTACTTGCTTCTAACAGAGATGAGGGACAGGCGGGAGAGTTCTCTGTGCCATTTTCTAGCTGAATGCCCTTGGGTGACTTTTTGACCTTTGGGAAGCCTCAGAGCTGAACAGCTCCTTCATATTGTTCTTAGGAGGATTTCGTACAATACTTTTGTGCCAAGAGCTTACCTCAGGAGTCTTACTCTGAGAGACCCTCCAGAGCCATGTTTTGTTGGACGGGTGAGAGCGATGTGTATGTTGGATGGGAAAGGGGGACTGCTAAGTATCCGCAAAACCATTCCATTAGACTTTTCCACTAATTCTAAAGGTTTGGTAATCTAGTTGGGAAGTGCGCATGAGTTTCTTTCCCTGGTGAGCTTTTCAAAGGACCTTTAGAAGCTTCCATCTCCCTGTGAATAACTGACATGTGAACGGCAGTCGTTCGGACGCCGTCCTTAAGCAAAGCTCTTGGCATTCCACACGTGCACATCTTTTCAGCTTGGTTGAAGGTACTTACTTTCAAAGTTATATGACTTGATCTCTTTTAAGATATTCTGGAATCAATGCTGATTCTTCTTTCCTTTAACCTGACCCAATGAGGTTTTACTGTACTTCCGGTTCTCTATGCAGCGGAGAATTAAAGCGCTCACTTCAGAAAATTGAGGAGAACAAAGCTCAAGTTTAGCAGCACCTAGAATTGGTCCTTTCAGAGCCAGAGTCCTAGTTTTTAAGGCCCAGAGCAGCTTTGGACACAGCTAAGTTAGCACTGCAAAGAGTTCAAGAAGCCTTAACTTCAATATGACTCATGGAAAATTCCTCTAGGAACCAGAAATATCTCCTAAATGCTCCTGAACCTCAGTGGCACAGTAATTAAGTACTTGGCTGCTATCTAAAGGGTTGGTGCTTCTAGCCCACCTGGCAGTCTGCTTCTGTCAAGCAGCAGCCTGGGAAGCCCTCAGGGCCAGTCCTGTAGGGAGTCAGATTCAACTTTACAGGAAAGGGTTGGTCTTGGCTCCTCAGCTCCCCTGAAGTGTACCCTGTTCCTGCTCCCTCCCTAACAACATTCCACTTCACAGAAATGCAAAACAGAAGACTTCATCCCTCTAAAGGACTTTAGCTTACCTGGCGATTCCATCTCATGGTGACCACATGTGCAGAGGAGAGCTGTCTCCATCGGATTTTCAGGGCTGGGACCTGTCCAGTGTAGATCACCAGTTCTTTCTTCAGAGGCCCCGGTGGGGTGGGGTCCATGCCACCAACCTTTCAGTTAGTAGTTGAGACCTTAACCATTTGCTCCACATCCAGGACTCTTGTAATAATAAGCCATCTATCTATCTTGTAATAATAAGATAGATTTTTTCCCATCCCAAGGATCTGTATCCAGCCAGAATTAGCTCCTCTTCTGGCTTCTGTAAGAGGTCATATTTCATGGCTGCGTTTCATCTTGGGCATCTATCATCATGGTTCATTTATGTGACCGCTGTCATCTGTTAAGGAGCCCTGGTGGTGCAGTGGTTATGAGCTGGGCTGCTAACTGAGAGATCAGCAGTTCAAGATCACCACCTGCTTCTTGGGAGAAAGAGAGAGACTTTTTTTTACAGTCTCAGAAACCCACAGAGGCAGAGCTGATGCCGTGGCAGTGAGTTGGGTTTGGGTTTGGTCTGTTAAACTCTCAGCTTTTCGCCCAGTGATTCGGTTCCGGTAAAAGCCTGTAGCCGACATTATTTAAGAGAACACACTAATGAGCTTGTCCTCTTATAGAATTCCATGCTCTGTCACTTTCCTTTATGTTCCTTAACCTCTACCTTATCCGTTTGCAGCTCGCCCTGAAGATGAAGTTCAGTGCATATCAATGATGCCCATTTTAAAGGCCAAATCATTCAATTAAAAAAAACCTAAAAAGAAAATCTTTGGGGCTTTATTGGTACACTGGGAGTGAGTGTTACTCCAGTCTCTCATTGATCTTGATGGAAAGCCCAGAATTGTTTACCAAGCTGAGGAGATTAGGTTTAATTACCAGGTGGGGGGGGGGTGGCGTCGGCATAAGGTAATAATTGTATGATCAGATTGCTCCCCAGAAAAGATCACATCTGTGCAAAATGGTTGCTTAGAAAAGTCAAGATACCTTTGCCGAGAAAACAAGTGAACACAGTACGGGGACGCTTGTGCTATCCAGTGGCCCACTTTCTAATGCCTGATTGGATTTGTAGAAATGAATCAGAAGAGCTGAGCAAACAAGGTGTCGCATGGCTACAATTTGATTTGTGCAATTTACAAGTTTTCCTGGAAACAATCAGACCCAAGGATTGATGGGGGAAACCCAGGGGCTTAACTCAATGATATGGGCTTACTAATGATCCACTGATAAATAGCGTTTACCAATGGGAAGGCAGCAATAGGCAAAAAGGAAGAGTGAGTTCCCCTTAGCAGCACGACTTAGACCATCCATCTGGTGCTACTGCTGTATTCTGGTCCTCCTGTCTTGGAGTTCGGATGAGTTATCATAGGGCAGCACAATTTCTCACCTGAGCAGAATGCCTGGTACACCTTGGATAGGAGGTGGCGATTACCCTATGAAACTCCTTTTTTTCTTTTTCTAATCATTTTATTGGGGGCTCACACAGTTCTTAGCATAATCGATGCATCCTATGAAGCTTCTTAAGCTCGCCTTCCAAAATTGATCTTTCCAAGTTCAAGATGGAATACTTCGTTTCTACACCTTTTTGAAAATCTTGATTTGTCAAAGAAACTGGCTTTTTATTAGAAAACATTTCCACTAACATCTTCAAGAGCTTTTCCCCAAAAGTCCTTCTTCAGTTTGTTTAGATGATTCGCATCAAGAACTAGGGAATGTGTGTGACATTTTAAAACAAAAGTCAGCATGAAATTCAGTTGATATTCAGTTCAGGCAGGTGTGAAGGCTGTCTAGTCCCATGTTATAAAAGCCTTGCATTCCTGTCCGCTTTTAACTTCCACATTTTAACTCCCCCTGTTCCTGAATAACACTTCTGCTGCTGTTCGCAAGAAAAAGAAGAAATGCTCAGATTAGAGTGAGGAGCAGAACACCACCATTCCATCTGCTCCAGACGCTGCAATGCGGAGCCCTGGCCAGGATGGGTCAAGGTTATGCCACGGTTTAATCAGCAGTCTGGGTTTAGTGGTGCAAAAAACAATGCAATTAGAGAGGTTTTAGGATCAGTAAAAGAGACAGATCTTTAAAAAAACAAAAAAACCAGGTTCCATGCCCAAATGGAAATAAGCAAATTGCAGTAAGAATCTACACTCACTTTTGGTTGGGCTCTTTGCTAAGATAATCAGAGCAGTGTGGTGGTGATGGTGTCTGCATCTGAACTGTTCTTTAAGGATGTAGTGGATGCCATGACATGCGTGTACCTTGTGTCCTTTGAGAAATGAAATAGACCACACGCACATGGCCAGCGATGAGAAGGAGGGTGGCGTCAGTGATCTGTGTTGTTTGTGTTTGAACTGGGGGCATTGATGCTGGCCTGCTGAACACAGGCCTCTCAGAGGCCCACACTCTTGCCGACATGGTCTAGGAGCCTGGAGCCATGAGTGCCATCTTCTAAAAACAGAAGCCAAATTCGCATTCACAGTAGTTAGGGTACGAAGCTCAGTGCCAAATTTATTTCGACTATTTCGACTGTCTTGACTGTCTTTGTTTTGGTTTGAGTTTGGTGTGCGTCTCCTTTGCTTTTCAGTCTGTTTCAGATATCTGCCCGAAAAGCTTACTAGGAAGTAGAAAGATACTTTGCATAAAATACACAGACCAGAGCAGCGGGTCTCAGTGCGCGTGTTACAAGTTGGGCCTCAAACAAGGTCAGCAGTTTGAAACCGCTGGCCTCTCCATAGGAGAAAATGAGGCTTTCGTTTCCTCTAAAGGAGTACCTGCTTGTAAACCCAGAGGGGTAGTTCTAGCCTGTTTCATAGGGACTCTGAGTCAGAATCAGCTCAGTGGCAGTGAGTTTAGTTTGGGAGGCCTTTTGACAATGCTGGAGTCAGTTTTGGGTGTCACAACCCAGGGGTGGAGGGTTGCTGCTGACATCTAGTGGGTAGAAGCCAGGCATGCTGCTGAGCATCCTACAGTGGACAGGACAGCCCCCACGACAAAGAACTGTTCGGTTGATAAAATTCACACTCTCCATATACTTTCCTATAGCATGTGGTTAGTAGGATTACGATGTATGGAAGTTCATGTTTATAGCCAGGCTCATCCCTCCTTTAACATAATGGGCCCCACCACTATTTCAGAGTAAAACTGGAAGAAATTATGTGAAATGCTTTCCTGGCCTTCAAGTGTCTATGGTGGGATTCCACACAGAGCCCAAGTCTTGTTATCTGAGGATATCCGCTGTAAGTGGGTGGGTTCTGCCTACTAGCCTGACACAGCAGGCAGTGCCGAGAGATGAAGGCGCGCTCCCAGCTCAGTAGTGCAGAACCAAACACGTCTACCTGCTGACCTGCACAAGCAGACAGCCGTGCTAGACTGACGGCCGTGGGGGGAGCACATTACCAGAGGCTGCTTGCATTCCTTTCTTTACACACTAACCGAAAAGTATTCCAGTACACACTCGCACATCACCACTACCACCCTCAGGGCCACGCAGAGGCTGTGTGATGCTGTTTATTCATGGGGTCTCTGCACAAATCTCTCACGATTTACCCAGCAGGCCTTGCTGGCTCTGTATGCACATGCTTGCCTCCCTTGAGACCCAGAGAAAGAACACAGCAGAGCTAACACACAGGCACTTCTCTTCGCTTTGCACAAAGATGTCCTCGGATTCATTGCTCAGAAAGTACAGGGCTGGTACTGGGGATCTAGACGTCAGTCACGGTGACACTTTTGAATGAGCTCTTTCAGGGCTGGCTTTGATAGTATAAAAATCAAAAGCCGGATCAACATATTATAGTAATTGAGCCTGGCCATGTCTCAGTTATTCTTTTGAAATCCTAATCAATGCTGCCATGATTATCTTCTTTATATCCAGGACGGATGGCTCTTAATACCTGGCCTGCTTTGAACCCGTCCGTAATGGACTCAACAGTAAGGGCATCAACAAGTGGGCTTTTTTGGTTGCTAGCCAGGACACGGTGTTACTCTATCAGGCTGTAACGTTTTTGCCCCCGAGTCTTCTTTTACCTTATTTTAAAACATGAAACTCTGAGTACATTTTAGTCCTATTCCGAACTGAAACTCGTCGACTAAGCCTCTGATCATTCTTTCCCTGTATTTGTATTTGTTCAGGAAATACAATCTTTGGAATCTGGCCTCCAGTCTGGATGGTCCTGTGTCTTTATAGTGGTGGGGGCTGTCCGTGCGGTTGATGCTGATGTTTGGGCCTTTCTGGTATCTTCGTGGTAGAAGTCTCTTATTTTTATGCTTTCCCAACATAGCATGGCAGGTGGCCTCCCTGAACACAGCATGCCCACTGTCTGTCTGTAGACAAGACGCAGGAATCCTCCCACTGAAGCAGGACATCGCGACTTTAAAAGTCTGGTTTCCTTTAGGTCAGGAACTCATCGAACCCAACAAATACACTTTAAAAACTAACAATGGTCGCCAACCTAGTGATGTGAATGATTCTCTGCACTTCAGCCAGCTCTGAGTGACCTCCCTCGCACTGACCCATCGGAAGCAGTACCGTCCCCCGCCTTCTGTCTGCCCTCACTTAGTATCTTGACATCTGCAATGGGGAGGGAAACATTCATATTCGGCACAATTCCACCTAGTTGTGCTTCTTGGTAGTAAACTCCATTTACTCAGAGACAGATGCCACTGCAGGTTAATTACATAAGAATCTCTTTCCAAGTTAAAAGAGATTGGTTCTATTCTTTATTATTATTATTCTATTCTTTAAGAAGACTTCCTCTTAGGAGTATGACTTTAATGGATACAAAACTTGTTTTCTCAACACCAGACAAATTAATGGAGGCTGAGCTCTCACAGAGATTTGGTGATAATTTTTAATAACTCAGAGCAACAATGCGCTCTTCTTTCCAATACAACATTGCTTTTCGTTTCTGACTTGTCAGACCCTTAATAAAGGCAATAATTCTTGGTCTGCCCATAAGTGAGATTATGAAACCCAGCAATGAGGAAGCCATTAAAAATTAATTTGGAGGAAAGTTAATTGCAGATTTAATATGGCTTTCTGCAAGTTGGTCAACAAAATTCTTCAATGTGATTAACAGTATTTTTCAAGAGCTGAAAACATTAGGCCCTAAAAAATATTTTCTGGATTTTGTTTTTCTTTTTAGCTTTTACTCTGGGTTTGTTCATATGAGGTTGTAAATAGAGACTAATACTTGAGTACATTCCATGGTTTAAAAACAAATCCCACGTCCAGGAAGACTAAGAGCCAGAAAGTAAGTGACGGAGCCATGATGCTGCTTCTAAGGCTGTAACACCTTCATCATTATGTCCCTCCTCGGGTTCACTTTGCATCTGCCAGAAACCCCCTGGTGCGATACTGGCTCCTCAGTTTTCAAAAACCTCAAGTCCACCGATGGAAATCATGTGGGATTTGCATTTCACCAGGCAGCGATATTTCTAGGTTGTGCTCGCTATTTCAGAACAGTCGCTCCCACCCTGCGCCTTCCTCCCAGAGTTCCCTAACTTCAGCAACTCCTCCAAACAGCAGTGCTTTCGTGAGACTCCAGATTTAAGACCAGCCAGTCATCTTGAGTCTCCTTCACGGGGAATTAGAAATTAGCTACGCTCGTCATTGAGTTAGGCTAGCAGTCCCCTCCTCTGTCACCTTCCCAACCAGGAGGGGACAGGAGCCCGAATCGACCCCTCCTCCCCGAGAATGACCAAAAGCTCCACTTACGTGTTCTGTCTCCGTAGTGCTCCACGTCCTGCGGCCAAGGCACGCAGCAGAGGAACGTGGCCTGTCAGATTGGCGCTCACAAAATAGCCAGAGTGACCGAGTGCAACCCGTACGCCAGACCGGAGTCGGAGCGCGCCTGCCAAGGCCCACCGTGTCCTCGCTACGCGTGGAGGGCAGAGGAGTGGCAAGAAGTAAGTAGAGGCACCGAGTGAGCACCTGCCAGGTGTTTTGCTCGTCCCCCAGGTAGCTTCTGATCATTCTCCGTGAAGCTGGTGAAGCCACTGAGCTCGGTGACAATGCTGGCTCCTTCCCAAAAAGCAGCAGCATTTACTCGAGCGCCTTGTTTCCCTTGAATGTTCCAAGCCCGGCTGCTTGAACAGGCCTGGGGCCAAATGCCGGCAGATAACTTTCCACCCAAGGCGACAGAGATGGAAGGAGGATTTTAAACATCTGACTACAGACGCCCCGTGTGTATTCGCTGCAACAGCCACAAGGCAGACTTTAGGTAGGACTTACGGCGTACTTTTCCTCATTCATGATTCAGGAAGGAGATGCCTAGGTACTGAAGTGAAGCCCTGATTAATTAGCAAGGGATTTCCAACTTTTAAACTTTCTACTGTGAGGTAATCTGAAGAAACTGCTCAGCCGATGCCTAAGTAGACCAGACTGGTGTCCCGCACACCCCTTACAAGTTAATGTTTGATGAGGGGGTGGCGGGGTGGGGGGTTGCCGTCTAAGTGCCCCTGGGGAAGAAGCCTGACTGGGAAGGTAAGACTTTAGTGGGAGGTAAGCTTTGTTTCCAGAGCAGAGATTCGCTTGGAGAAAGGGGGAGAGAAAGGGAAGGAGGAAGCCGAGCCGTTTCCACTGACCTTGGAGCATAATGGGTCATACATGCTGTTCCAGGTCCAAAGATGCGATTAACAAATAGGACTCCCCTCACTCCCCATCAGGCCCGTGTGCACCCGGGCTCACACCCTGCAGAGCAACCCCACACCCCCTCCCCTTTTCCTGGAATGACTTTCAGAAGAGGGGAAGGGTACAGGTTTGTTGGCTGGTTCAGAACACTTAAACTGCAGCTGGCTCTGCACTCGGCGTTGTGCACATCCACCCCCCTGATTTTTACAAATTATTATTATTGGCCTTATTTTGTGGGTAAGAAAACTGTCTTTCTGAGAGGTGTAAACACTTATCCACGTGTCACATAGCTAGCAAGTGGAGGAAGCAAACAGACGTGGTCCTCAGTTCGTTTCCTGAAGCCATGCCTGTCCTCTCCACGCCCCTCAACCTCCTGATGAATGATGTCCACTCTTTGCAGGCCGCTCTCTCTTTGGGAATGGCACCCTTTCTCTCTGCTCCATCCTTTTGCTTGTTTTCCTTCTAGATTTTTAAAATGTGTACCACATCATGGCAGGAGTTAACAGATACAGCTGTTACATTTCCAACTAATTTTCCTTGAGCCATTCAGAGTATTGGCATTCTCCAAAGGCAATGCCTAACCCAGTCCTGTACTTGCTGTGTGACTTCCAATAAGGATTCTCCGAACTCCTCTGGGCATTCTCTCTATAGAACGCATCTAACGTCTAACCCTAACATGTCCCGTTGGTGAGCCATTGTACTCCTCACCCCAGGGCCTCCAGTTCAAGTCCACTAGCCCACCCATAGGAGAAAGATGAGGCTGTTTGTGCCCATAACCTTGAAAACCCTAGCGGGTAGCTCTTCTCTGTACTATGGAGTTGCTGTGAGTTAGACTTGGCTCATTGGTGGTGAGTCCATTTGGAGACTGATGTTTTTATGGTCACTGCCATGCTCCATCACTCTGTGCAGATATTTAGTAGGAAAGAGGTTGAGAACACAACTGGGGCAGAAGTGAGATTTTGAAATACCTAAGTGCATCCAAGTGGCCCCTGTGTCCTGCTCCAGGATGACTGAGGGTGGGGCTGCTATTGAAACACTTGCAGAAGTCACAGGCTGGGGTTGGTTTTCCCTTTGTGACCGGGAGGTGTTGCCAATGTGGAGTATAGGAGGACGAAGAGGCCCCCTTGTCTCTCCCCCTCAGTCGCTGCTCCTTCTTGATTCTCCCGTTTCAGGCCCATCATTCTCTGCTTTCTCCCTCTCCCTGCCCCCACCCTCTCTCCTCCCTCCCCTTCTCCTCCTGCCAAACTCAACCCCGTGGAAGCTCTCCAAGGAGCGGAGTGAGAGATTGCGTAGGAAGGAATCTGAGCTCACTGCTCACATATTCACCAGCTTTTGAAAATGCTAGAGCCAAGCTCCATTTATAATTCCTTCTGAGTCGCAAAGAATGGAAATAATCTTGCCACATAAACACGAGGAAATTCCTCTTCTCTGATTATGCAAAGTTTGCTCAAAGTATACATCTTGGCATGTGCTGTGTAGATGGGAAGTACCCTGGTCGGTTCCTATATGGATATAAGAAAGGCACCAGAGGCCACCAGTTTACACTGGAAGGCTCTAAGCAGGGGGAACACACCCTTACAGTTAAGTACCTCCCCAGGTTTTTCTTTTCCTGAACACAAGTGGAGTGCTTAGAAGGTGGACGTGGGTGTGGAGCGGATGAGTAGAAAAATGTGGGAGACCATCAAGTGCCACTAAATTAGTTGAGCGAGGCTCAAGGCAGCTGGGTAAGGGAGAAGCCCCAGGGGACATTTTTAGGTTCCTCCTCAGCAAAACATGGCCCCTCAGGACCTCCCCACAGCAAGGAGGCCAAGCCTGTGCTGTGGGGACCACGTGTCTGTTGGCCTGCCACTATCTTGGTTTTTGCCTGTTATCCTAGTATAATTATTAGTTGCATCAGAAATTCCCGTTAAATAGCCAACAGATGATAACTTAGAAATATTCCATTAAAAAAAAAAAGTCTCTCATGCTACCCTGAGGTTCCTGGGTGACAAACAGTTACTTAGTCTGGTGGTGTACTGAATTAAGCAGTGGGCCTCTAATCACAAGATCAGCAGTTCAAACTCACCAGCTACTCCATAGGAGAAAGATGCGGCCATCTGCTCATATAAAGATTTCCAGTGTTGAATAATCACAGGGACACTTCTACTCTGTCCTATAAGGAGCCGGAGGGCTAGAACAGACTCAGTGACAGAGAGGCCGGGTCTGGGGGTGGGTAGGTTACATCTTCAGCAGCAACCCTCTGAAAACACCCCAGGCCTCCTGTTTGCTTTTGGGGCCCATTTTTACCTTTTCTTTCCAGGGACCCTGTTATTAAAATGCACGTGCATGCTGGCAACAAGTATTTCATGCTAAGCTACAGCACTTAAAAATCAAACAAAACACTGCCATTGAGACCAGGTCAGGGTAGAACTCCCCTGGGAGTTTCCCAGACTGTAACTCTTTCTGTGAGTAGAAAGCCCCATTTTCCTCCCTCAGAGTGGCTGGTGGTTTCAAACTGCTGACCTTGCAGATTGCAGGCCTAAGTACCATAGAATCATTGTTCTCCATCTTCCTCTTCTGGTTTATCAGCTACTTGAGGTCGAGGGGCTTGTTCACCAGTTTTCCCAGCATTTAGCTTACCACATTTAGCTTACGCTACGAGAGCACAGGGACATCAGTTGCATGAATGGCTGGCTCCATGAGTGAGTGAATGGAGGGGCAAAAAGGATGTGAATAATCTTGCCCTCAGACAGAGTGCCGATACTGCAGATGCATTTAGGCCAGCGTGTGACAGCTTCTCATTTGTGGTGTCTATTATGTTCAGCTTTCCCTTGGATTGAGGTTTTTCTATATTTTATTTGTTGGTGGTTTTTTATATGAAATCCAGAATAGGTAAATCTATAGAGACAGTAAGCAGATTAATCGTTCCTTAGGGCAATGACAACAAGCTTTGGTTACAAGCTGGGCTGTGACCCAAAAGGTTAGCAGTTCAAAACCACTAACAACTCAGCCGGACAAAGATGGGTTTTTCTACTCCCATAAAGCGTTACAGTCTCAGAAACCTACAAGGCAGCTCTGCCCTGTCCTGTCACTTGAATCAGCATCGACCCCACAGCAGTGAGTTTGGTCTTTTCAAGGATTGTGGCAGGGAGGAAGTTAGCATTTAATGGGATCTGATAATAATGGGTACAAGAATGTTCTCTTCTTAATATGTTTAAACATTGAATTGTATTGAATGGGAATGTTATGTCAACAAACAAAACTGTTTTTAAAGGAGGGCAAGGAAGAGCAGGAAGGAAAGAAAAAAAGAAAAACTTGGTCGTCTTTTTCCTTCCACTTTTTAAAGACATTCTAAAATGTCTTTCAGAACATCCAAGCCAACCCTTTTTACCCTGTGAGAACAGCTGTTTATTTTCTTGTCACGATGCCACGGACACGCTGTGCTCAGAAAGAGCTCGCCTTCGCAGAGGGCCTCCTCCGTGTCTGCTGGGCCCGGGCAGGTCTGCGCGGCTCTCGTGCATGTTTGGAGCCGGGAGGCTTGCATGGAAATCAGCTGTGCAATGATTACCGCGCTCACCCTTTGGCCTAGAAAAGTTAACCAGGAGCAGGACTTCAGTCAATTGGTTACAAAGATGTTCATGAGGTTTACAAGAGAGTGATCCGATTTCCATGTGTGCCCAGGGCTGCATAGGAACCCTTTAGTGTTCGTTCCCCCAGTTATATATTATATATTCAACCAGCATTGACCAAGCCCCGGCCAAGTGCAAGACACCAGGCATTGGGGATGCGACCAAGGATATGAGATTCCTGAGTCTAATCAGGAAAATGGACCAGAGCCAGCATGCTGAGCATGTGCAGGAGTGCCAGTTGTAGAAAGTGCTGCCGAGAGCGACCCCCCACCCCCAAGGTGCTGAGGCAGAGACTGCGATGCACATGCCTTCACCAGGGGGGCCAGGCAGAAAAGAGCAAGCACCATGCTTCTAGGTAGAAGGAAGGGCCCGCATGTGTGGACCAAAGCGCAGCTGTCTGGGGGCTACAGGAGTAGCTGGTGACAATGAGCCCACAGACCTCAGCAAGGTTTGGATCTGTTCCTCATCAGAGGCCGAGGTGTACCAGCCTGGTCTCTGCCCACCCTCTTTCTCGCAAATCTGCCTCAAGTCACATGCTCTAATAATCTCAGCCTTAGCAAGCAAATCCCAGTGGATGTCCAACTCATGGTCTCTTCCATAATGGATGTTTTGGAAGGAGATCTCCAGACCTTTCTAACAAGGTGTGTCTACATAGATTTGAACTAATT